AGTTTTATAAGACCTAGATAAATCTCAATCCCAAAACTACTATTCCAATACATGAATGGACGAATGGTAAATATTTTGTGGACCCACACAGCAGTTAGTAAAGAGTAAGAACACTCCTAAAGACAAATATGAGTTAATGTTCGCGTTTGTGGAGTTGTGTGTGTGACATGCGGCTGATTCATTCTGTTTTAATGCTGTTTAAAGTGCTATCTTGTTTTCTTGAAAGCTATGAAGGATACTTTTACGAATGAGCGGATACAGACATTAGTCGGATAATTGTCAAACACATCTTTGATGATACTTTATATACGTATACAAAAATAAAAATAAATTTTTATTATTTTGAATACTTTTTCGATATTTTCAGACACTTCTTTTTCTTGTAAACTTAAAACGATACTTTCACATATTTCTAACACTACTTTACCCGATAATCCTAAACATGCTATGAACACATTCTAAACACATGAAGGAGCATAATATAAGAATTTTTAGTGGGAAGAAATTATTATAAAGAATTGTTCTTGACCGAATCTCATCATTACTTCCTTATTGAAATTGGGTATCCTCCATGATTGTTCATCATCAAGAAAGATTCTAAGTGAGTGAAATCTCTAGCCTTCGTACTTCCGTCCCCTTCCAAGACCACCAGACTGAAATTGTTTCCGTAGCGTGACACGTGGCTTGAGTTAGCCTGCACTCTATAATATATGTGGTAATTTTTTAAATTTTTTTCATATATATAAAAAAAAAATTATACAATGTTCCCCTAAATTTTGTGGTTACTAAAATTATCTCTTTATTTTTTCTTCCTCAATTGAAACTTTTTAACTTTTTCTTTTTAAAGTTCTCTCATTTTTCTTTTTCTACTTCTACTTTTAAAATTCTTCTTTTTTTTAACATGCAAATAACTTCAATTTTTTTATAAGAAAAACTAACATTATATACATGTCATCAGAAACAAAGCATTAAATAATATCTGATTATTTAATATACAAACTCTTAGTATAAAAATACTAAATGAATTACAGTTTTATAATAATATTATTCAATATATGTATATAATTTATAAGTAAGAATTCATATTTATATATAACGGTGTTCAAGTCGTATTCGTATTCTATTTTTTTAAAATTTGCCATCTTGACATGTCATTTTGTATTGTATTCCATGTACATGCTACATAATTGATAACACCTTACCAATCTCGTTCCTCACTCAAAAAAAATAAATAAATAAATAAAAATTACCAATTCTAAATTTGAAAGATAGAAGACATATAAACTAGTTTAAAACAATTATATATTTATTGAACAACAATATTATTAATCTATAATTAAGTTAAATATTATTTTTAGTTAATTTTTTCTTTTTTATCTCACTATTGTTCATAGTCCCGCGGAAACAATTTTCTAAACTATTGTCACTGGGAGTCGTGGAGTACTTGTTAAGAAAACTTGAAATTCACAAAGTCGTCTGGATGAAAAGTTCAAATCACAAAGCCCCCGGAATTAATTTTATATTCTCTATCACATTACATGGATGGTACTTGCGCCAATTGACCAGTTCTCCTGGATTAATTATTTAAGACTAAATTGTACACACACTAATTCAACTTAATTAAAGGTTATGGATTCTTTTTGTTGATTTTTCATCCTACTATAATTTATTGGTGAAGGTCAGTCACTGAATGAACACACACACACTCTCTCTCTCTCTCTCTCTCTCTCTCTCTTCGTAGACTTGTGTTCAAACCCGCGTGGTATAGAAGAATATGAGTTCCAGAGATTCATGGGAAACGTATTCTATTCATACTATTCTAGAAGTCATATTTTTTTTTTTTTTTTTCCTGAATAGAAGTCATATTTCTATAATGCAAGATTTTTTTTTTTTTAAATCAATGATAAATGATACATATATATTGAAAAGAAATTAAGAAAAAAAAAATCAGATATATACTATGAAATGAGAGACGAATTTCATAAAATATATATGCAATTTTTAAAATTTCACTAACACTCCTTCAAGTTTGATTAAATATTACATTAAAATATCTTTCGAAAATTAATAATATCACTAACTCACATTACAAACAGGGGCAGACCCAAAACTTTAGATAAGGGGGTAAGACTAAAATTTTGTAATAATTTCAAGGGGCATTAATAATATTTTATGAGTATATATTGAAAAAATAAAAAATAAAAATTGGCCCCCTCAATTGCACATCGGTCCGTTCGTTTTTCATTCACATCTTAAAAGTTATTTTTTAGATATGTCATACCACTTTTTACATATAAAAATACATTGTTACCCCCTTTGATTTTGCAAAATCCCCTTTTAACCCTAAAAAATTATTTAAAAGACCAAAATACTCATGCATTTTCCCAAATTAATTCATCTATATAGAGAGAGAGAGAATAAGATAAAGCTTCCTTATTTTCTCTTTTTATTCGCTCCTGTCCATGGCATCAAATCTAAAATCCGTGTTGTTCCTAACTTTCCCAAGCCAAATATGTGTATATATATATATATATTCGTTTAATCTCACAAATGAACCTTATTTGTTTGTGTTTAATTATTAACCGGTTCAAATTAATCACTTAATAGTGTTTCTTATTAATTGCCTAATAACAGGGATTATTTTTGAAGACATCATGGCGCTCTTACTCGACCCAAAGGCTTTCAAAGGCATCATCGACTTGTTCGTTCATCATTGAAATTAGTGATTCAAGATTATCAATCAAAAAAAAAAAAAAAACTTTGCAACATCTTTATTGAAATCAATGATTCAAGATTATCCAAAATGAATAATTGACGATTGTAGAGTACCGATTGATGCGATCAAAGCACATCAAATTACAAGTATAGCAATTGAATTGATTCAAGATTAGTATATCTAAGAGAGAGAAAACCCTACAAAAATGAATAAGTAAATTAACGCAATTGCTATGTGAAAATGAGATTTGTGAGGGACGCATTGAGACATTGGAGTTGAGATTGGTGTTAGCAATAGTAGTACCTCTTGTGTTTGAAACGATGAGAAGATGGTTCAACATTATAGGTTTGCCCTTAATTTTAGGAGTGAATTAGGATTGAGATCATCGAATCCATGTTGGAGCTTTCTCCCTCTCTCTACCAAATTGTCAACCAATAGTAGATGGAATTAGTCGACGGTTGCTCAACCATTGGTCCAGCGATCATAACAGCTACTGGGTTGCAATCGTGACCAACACCTAATATCAATCTCTACAACAATCCATTCCTCGGTGGCGAAAAGTGGGGGTAAAAGCAACCAAGGGTCGCGCTATAGATAGCATTGCCTGTTGTTGAAGGTTGATGAACAACGACCTATGCTCCTGTTTCAGAAAAGCAACCAAGTTTGGTTGCTGCTTTTGGGTCAGCGTGAGAATGGCGGCAACTTGCTCGCCGCCTTCTGCAGGTTGCCATCAGCAACAATTTGTTGGGGATAATTAATTCCTTCCAACCCACTCAATGGTCGGTTTTTGTTGAAAGTTAAATTTCCCATTAATCACACACAGCGGAAGCATCATCACATCACATCACATCAACACAAGCATATATGGAGATAACAATCATACATATCCACGCACAACACAATATTTTACATGGTTCATCCAACTCTAGGAATCAAGGAAGAAAATATATAACCACATGTCAAAACCTCACTCACCCTCTCATTATCTCTTTTGATGTTACATGTATACACTCAGGAATTACATATACTCTCTATTCTCCTCACAACACTCACCCTTAAACTCCTTACATCTTTTCTCTCTTCTCTCTCTCTCTCTCTAAACTTCTCATATCCAATTCTATTTATAGAGTCTTTAAAATCAATTCCTTGTTAGACAAATATTCCTCAATTTTCCTACAAGAAATTACCATAATGATCAAAACTCTAAAATAAAAACATAATTGGATACAATTTCCTACACAAATTTTAGCTTTCCAAAACGAAAAATGAAACTTATTTTCTGCACACGAATTTTGAGCCACAAACCCAACAGTCTCCACCTTGGCTCCAAATTCAATCTTCACGTGCTTCTCCATAGCTCCACCTCGAACAAAGATCTCTTCATAACTCCACCTCAATTAAAGATTTTTCCACCTCGAACAAAAGCACTATAATGAACTTGAGAAACACTCTAACACAGTCTTTCTATCCTACATCTTTCGCAAGGTCAGTGACCTTTCTCTTTCTTCCTTCCAGTCCTCTAGCAAGTCCCTCCTCCTCTTCCTCACCTGCTCCATACTCTCCGGCACAACTCCTCAAAACCACCATCACCCGTATTCTCCAGCAAAGTTGGTAAGAGTGAAAAAGACATGAATGGGAGTATTAATTAGGGGTATAATGGTACTTTAAGTAATCTGATATTTTAGAATAAATGAAATTAAAAAATTAAGAGTAAAGTTATATTTGTCCCGCTTTTTATGAGATCGTGACAGAAAAGTAAAAATAAACATAAGTTATAGTTATTTTTAAAAAATATTTGAGTGTGGTATTTTACCAAAAATATATTACTAAAATTAGTTCAAAATAATAATAATAATAATAAAAAAAAAAGATAGAGTTGGTAACGGGTTTATGACGATCACAATTAAATGATGAGCATTAATTTCTCTAATATTTAGAGGAAAAGAAAATTCTCTAATAAAAATACGAAATGATTGTTTTGATTGGTTAGACAGGGAATATACTCGTGGGATACCCCTGTTTTTTTCAAAATATTCTGAAACCATTTCTGAATATACCATATAATGGTAATTTTAATTTTCCAAATTAAATGAAGCGAGACCCAATCTTTATTCGGCTAATTTCCACATGTCGAGCGACTTTTGAAGCCGTGTGGAATAAGTCTTATGCTGGGACCATAGGCCGATATTTCACCTCACATCTCTTTCTAACAGTCTTTTATACATGTATATAATTATATTATATATTAGGAACAACGGTATCCATCCGGTACAGATTATGAGTTTAAAGCCAATAATGACTTTCCTACTCCTCATCTCCAACTTGAATATTGCTACTTTTAGACCCACCTGTTTGTTTTTTCATGTATTCATCTCCATCCTTCTTTTTCTTTCTCATGGATTCACTGCTGAAGCTGACAAAGTAATCATACAAATCGGTGCCATCATTGATGTTGATTCTCGTTTCGGCAAAGAACAAAAGATGGCCATGAAAATTGCACTTCACAACTTCAACAAGAAGTCCAAACTTCACAAGCTCTCTCTTCATTTTAGAAATTCTGGCAGTGACGACCCCATCCGATCAGCTCTTGCTGGTTAGTAATTAGTTATTTTCTTTGCTTTTTCTGAAATTCTCTCTGCCAATCAAGTCATCGTACATGAACATATGCATAGATTTGTATATATGTAGTTATGTACATGTGTCTGGAATGGTATATATAATATATATGTAAGTAGCTTAATTCATGAATATGTAGACTCACATGAAAGTATATATCTAATTAATATTATTTCTTAGTTAGATTTATTTTTTCGCTTCAAGAAGCAGTTTCCTAGTATATAATTGAATGTAATAAGGGAGTGTATTTATATAAATTAATGTTTACGGGGTTTGTGAATTTTTGCTACAGCTGAAGAGCTGATTAAGGAGAAACAAGTCCAAGTGATTATGGGCATGGATACATGGGAGGAAGCTGCTTTAGTGGCAGACATCGGATCCCAAGCTCAAGTCCCGGTTCTTTCATTTGTAACCGCTCCATTTACACCAGCATTGGTGCGGCTTGGATGGCCTTTCTTGGTGCAAATGGTTACAGATGGCTCCGAACAAATGAATTGCGTTGCAGCTGTTGTTCAATCCTTCAATCGGCAAAGTGTTGTAGCCATCTACGAAGAAGACATCCACGGTGGTGATCCCGGGAAGCTAACCCTGTTATCCAAGGCCCTTAAAAATGTTGGCTCGGATATAGACTATCATCTGGTGCTTCCACCATTTTCTGATCTATCAAATCCTCAGCAGTCCATAAATAAGGAGCTGTCTAAGTTAGAAAACACCACAAGATCTAGGGTGTTTATTTTTCTACATTCATCATTACCGCTGACAGATCTTTTGTTCAGTGAAGCGAAGAAGATGAGCTTTATGCGAAAAGACTCGGTGTGGATAATTGCAGACACCACCAGAAGCCTTCTGAATTCTGTCAGCCGTCCTGTTGTCTCTGCCATGGAAGGTACTCTTGGAATCAAACCCTACTATTCTGAAAATAGCAGTTCTTTCAAACACTTTCATGAGCAGTTTCAGCAAAATTTCCAATTAGATTATCCTGAGGAAGATAACACTGAGCCTGGAATTCATGCGCTTCGAGCTTATGATAGCATTATGACTATTACACAGGCGATAGTGAAATCAGCTGGTAAAATGAATTCCTCAAAAATGTTGGAAAATATTTTATCAAGCAACTTCGCAGGTTTAAGTGGAGAATTGCGATTTCAAGAGGGAAGACTTTCAAGCTCCCAAAAATTTAGTATAGTGAACATTGGCAATCAGGAAAACAATAACCTTGGCTTTTGGTCATCAGAGTTAGGGTTCTTAGATAGCCCTAGTACCATGAAAAATTTGGCTGGTTTCGCGGAGGTGTTAAGGCCTGGGGACCCAAAGCGAATCCTGAGAGAAGGGGGGAATGCAAGACCAATGAATATTGCAGTTCCTGGTATAGTCCCTTTTAAGGAATTTCTCAGCCAAGATGAGAAGAGATTTACTGGTTTTTGTATCAGTGTTTATGAGGAGGTGAAAAGGATTTTGGAGGACGATCATATTTGTGATTTACCGTCTACTACTAAATTTCACCCGTTCAATGGAAGCTATAATGATTTGGTTGAATCGGTTCATAACAAGGTAATCACACATCACCTGATCTCTTGATCATTTTCAAACATCTGTCAATTTAATTAAATAGTTAGCCATTTATTTGTTCTAACCTGACCATCCAAATGTGACTTTGTTGGGGTGATGAGAAATCGTTATTTGATTTTGAATTAATGTATTACAACGTATCTGGATGAAAGATTAAAAAAAATAAAACAAAGAAATGGTCTCTTTTTTTTTTTTTTTTTTTTTTTTTTAATTCAAAATTTTTTCCTGCCCTTCCAACTATATATATATGTTGCTGATATGTTGGTTTTCTACTTGTCGATAAAAATTGATGGAAGACTTATGATGCTGCTGTTGGTGACATAACGATAACAACTAAGCGTTGGGACCTAGTTGAATTTACAGTACCTTTTATCGAGTCAGGTTTGCTTATAGTGGTTCCAGTTAAGCGGACTTCCAAAGCATGGTTGTTTCTGAAGCCTTTCACCATGAAAATGTGGGTGGCGACGGGGGCAATCTTCTGCTACACAATGTTCATAGTTTGGTTCTTGGAGCAACGTTCCAATCCAGAATTTAGCGGCCCATGGAAGGAACAACTTGGCAATGTACTTTGGTTCACCTTCTCTACTCTGTTCTTTGCTCACAGTAAGTATTTTATTTATGCTTAGATTTGGAGGCAAGCTAAGTTTTTAATTTTTTTCAATTTAGGTAAATTCTCTCGCACACACTTAAATGCTAACTAGGAGTCTTTTTGGAGGCAAGGTTATGAGGACCTATTTGTACTAAATTAATGCTTTCCTTTATATATATATTTTTACATATTTTAAATTAAAATGAACACATGTCGATCACTCTATAATATGCCACATAGGTGGTTAGAAGTATTATTATTATTTAATAACTAAGAACATAAATATCCAATAGCATGCCCTGATTTGGAGAGATTTCAAAGAAAATAGACTTCATGATTAGCCCAATTAGGAGGTAAAATACTTACAAATATAATTGCATATACGCAAAGAAATGAAATCCCAATAATTTTCTACTTTTATGTATATATGAATAAACCTTTATTTTTGATTTTGAAGGGGAGAAGATTAAAAGCAACTATAGTCGTACTGTGATCGTGGTGTGGCTTTTTGTGGTGTTGATCTTAATAGAAAGCTACGCTGCCAGCCTCACTTCAATGCTCACCTTCTCAAGACTCCAGTCACCTGTGAGAGATATCGAGTGGATAAAGACAACAAATGCAACAGTGGGGTGCGATGGTGCTGCATTTGTTAGGAAGTACTTGGAGGAGGCTGAGCATTTTGAACCAGGGAACATCATCGACATCGGCAGCGAAAGCGAGTTCCAGACTGCATTCAAGAATGGCAGGATTCAAGCAGCAGTTCTTGAAGTTCCTCATGCCAAAGTTTTTGTCAAAAAACACTGCAAGCAGTACGCGTATGGCGATGGATCATTCACCAGAAGATTTGGAGGATTAGGCTTCGTGAGTAGTAGTGAATGGAACTCTTTCCACTCATTTCATTCTCTAATATCTCCAAGTTTTTTGCTACAAAAAAAAAAAAAAAATACTTCAGACAATTTTTTTTAATTTTTTTTAGCTATGCATATATAGAGAGAGAGAGAGAGAGAGAGAGAGAGAGAGTGACAATTCCGATAATACATTTGGGATTACTGATTGTAATTAAATTATTGTTCATGCTTTCTGTGCAGGTCTTTCAAAAAGGTTCCACATTAGCTGCTAATGTTTCTAAAGCCATTCTTAAACTATCAGAAAATGGGAAGATAAAAGAATTAGAGAGACAGTTGTTTAGTCCCTCCTCGGAGTGTTTGAGGTCCCAAACTATCGAAGAAAATGATAGCATGACCATTGAGGACTTCTTGGGCCTCTATGTAATCTACGCAGCCACTTCCACCATTTGCTTTCTACTATATTTATTGAAAAGGAAATTTGGGCGAACGATAATTCTAGATAGTGCTCCAACTTCTGCTAATCAGATTTAAATGATTCAAACACCTAATTCATATTGGTCAAGTAGAAAATAGAAAGGAAAAAAAAACACTAGTATAGCGATTTCTTTTGTATAATTGTATAAATGGTTCTTATTTCATTTATAAATGATCACTTTCTATAATTAATTGCTGAAATTTATTAACCCATGGAACGAACTATTGGTCTTATGTTATTTCCATTTAAATAATCTTGCCGACTTATTTAATTAATGTGTTTCAATCTGCATTCCTGGAGACTTGGTCCAACAAGTTTCTTTTTTAATACTTCTTTTAAGGAAAAGTAGATTTTGATGACCAATTAAAATTTTAAAATTTTACTTTACAATGATCTTAAACTCACAAGAAAACAAAAATGTAACCAAACTTAAAAATTAATTGTCATTGCTCATGGGTGACCAATTGAGGGTAATTTGATATAAAAATAAATAAATAAAATAAAAACTTGTTTTTAGATTGTTACATATAGAATTTGATTTCAGATATGAATCCATTTAATTTAGGGATTTGATTTGTACATTTAGTTTTATATATTATTATGTTGTAAATGAAAAAACGTAAGAGAGAGTTCACAACTTTTATGGTATCAATGTGCAGTTTCTCAATTATGTTGAGAATGATTATCCTCCATATTTTCTTACATCATTCTGATAATTCCGGTAATGTTCTTATGTCCAATTTCCTTGCTAGTGATAATTATGTCTTGGCACCGTGTAATGTTAAGTGGGGTGCCATGGTCATATAAATTTGTCAGGTAATATGTACTTGGCGGATGTATCCACTAAAAAAAATAGTTTTTTAGAACGTCCTTTTTATCACAATTTTAAAATAATCTTGGTAAAAGATACTTCTTATCACGATTTTAAAATAATCGTGGTATTTTAAAATAATTGTAGTAAAAAATATATATTTTATCACAATTATTTTAAAACCGTGGTAGAAGATTCTTTCTACCACAGTTAAGGGAAAACCGTGTTAGTAATTCTACCACGGTTATAAAAGAACTGTGATAGAAAGTGAATTTATTTCATTAATTCTACTACTATTTCTACCACGGTTAATGAAAAACCGTGGTAGTAAGTTATTCTACCACGGTTCAGACACCATGGTAGAAAGTGAATTTGGTGATGGGCTATACGCGGGTCTTATTCTCGCTACTTTCTTAAAATTCTACTGCTATTTCTACCACGGTTAATGAAAAACCATGATAGTAAGTTATTCTACCACGGTTCAGACACCGTGGTAGAAAGTGAATTTGGTGAAGGGCTGTACGCGGGTCCTATTCCTGCTACTATTTTAAAATTTTAGGGCAAATCATTTCAGACCACGTACAGACCACACATATATAGGGCAAATCATTTTAGCCTCCGAAATCATCTCCATCTCTATTCTCGTTCTCAACTCTGAACTTGCCCTCTCTTTGTCTCTACAACTGCAAACTACAAAATTTACAAGAATCAGAACCTATATCGGCATATCATTTTAGATTGTTCAAAATATCAAAACCCATATCCTTCAGTTTCCATCGCCCGCTGTTCCAGTTCGGGTTCGCCGTTCGCAAGCCTCAGCCTCTGGCTCGCTGTCTCTCAACTCTCAAGCTCTCTCTCTGCAACTGCTAACTTGTATGTATTGGTTTTGTTTTATTATTATTATTTTTTTCTAAATCAATTAATCAATTTCTGTAATTCTTGTTTTGCAAACCAAATCCTATTAAGTGAAATTTTTAGGGCAAATCATTTCAGCCTCCCCAATCGCCTCCATCTCTATTCTCGTTCTCGACTCCGAACTGGCCCTTTCTCTCTCTATCTCTGCAACTGCAAACTACAAAATCTACAAGAATCAGAACCCATATCGGCATATCATTTCAGATTGTTCAAAATATCAAAACCCATATATATCCTTCAGTTTCCATCACCCGCTGTTCCAGTTCGGGTTCTTTGTTCGCAAGCTTCAGTGTCTGGCCCGCTGTCTCTCAACTCTCAAGCCCTCTCTCTACAACTACTAACCTGTATGTATGGGTTTTGTTTTAAATTTTTTTTTTCTAAATCAATTAATCAAGTTTTGTAATTCTTGTTTTGCAAACTAAATCCTATTTAGTGAAATTTTTAGGGCAAATCATTTCAGCCTCCCCAATCGCCTCCATCTCTATTCTCGTTCTCGACTCTGAACTTGCCCTCTCTCTCTCTCTCTCTCTCTCTCTCTCTGTGAAATTGCAAACTACAAAATCTACAAGAATCAGAAGTTCAAAACCTATATAATTGTTTCTCTCTCTCTCTCTTGACTCTGCAACTGCTAACTTGTATGTATGGGTTTTGTTTTAATTTTTTTTTTTCTAAATCAATTAATCAAGGTCTGAAATTCTTGTTTTGCAAACTAAATCCTAGTTAGTAAAATTTTTTATGATCTTTTTTATTATTTTATGAATTTTAGTTAAAAATGTTTGTGAAGATAATGACTGAAACAGGATCTCCCTTTGCAGGATTTGGAAGACTAACTGGTAAATTTGGGTTGAATTTGAGTCTTGAACAATATTGTATTTTGAATTTGTACAATATAAGGGCAAAATCAATGCACAAGGTTCTATTTGGGGAGGGTTAGATGTATATTTTTGTATAGTTTTTTCCTTGTTTCAATTTCATATGGTCACAATATAATATAGTTGTTTCCATAATTTGAATTCATATAGTCACAATATAACAATTTCACGAAGGTTAACCCTTGTTGTCGTGATTTTGTATCTAGGGTTAATTTTGCACCCTATTGAATCATACCGGCTGTTCTACTATCATGCCCCTAATTAGCTTAATTCTCTACCTTCTACAATCAACTTGAAACATCACTGTACTTTGATAGTGATCATTTTTTTTTTTTTTTAATTTGATAAATGAAAAAGGGTTAATAATAATAAAATAAAATAAAAAGCCTTAACTTTCAAGGTTTTGGTCAACTAATTTCCTCAACTATTTGGAAGTGTGTAACCTATCCCCAACTATTAAAGTGTAGCTACCATACATTCAATTACTATTTTACCCCTTAATAATGAAAATTAAAAACAACATTGGTTGTAAAAGACCCCTTAGTAAGAAAAAAAAAATTAAAAAAATAAAAATAAATTCAAAGTCTTAGAATCTCCTCTACCTCCTAAAGTGGATGATAAAGATTTGAGTTTCCAAAAAGATAAAAAGTGGGTGTGTGAGTGATGTGCCGTATGTTTCTAACCAATAAAAATTAAAATTAAAATTAAAAAATTAGGATGATCTATTTACATTATGCGGTCTATTCATGTGACTAAAAATGATCCTTAGGTCATTTTGATGAAAATGATGTTATAGAAATTTCAGGTCCAAAAATGTTAATTGTCGCTATTGCAATAGTTTGTAACCGGCATAGGAATATCTGTATATTTTTTGGAATAGTATAAGGGGGAATTTTGTGAAAAATGAAAGTTGAAGTGAGTTTTCTAGAAATGCTATAAGTTAGAAGGATTTTTTATTTATTTTTTATTTTTTTTACCCAAAGAAAAACTATGATGAGTGAGTAGTGCATATGCAGTTCCATGTGATGCATGGAGAAATCCATTGCATTTTTGGATGTGGACTTGGATGTCTAACGGTTTGATGAGCCCTTGGAGTAGTTGTTAAGAAAGACTTGAAATTCACAAAGTCGTTGCATGGAATGAAATGTTCAAAGCACACAGCACTTTCGTAATAAAATGGAGATGAAATATAGAATGTGAGAGTTGAGAGGGAGAGAGAACAAACTAATTAAACAAGTATAGAATTAGAGAGAAACTGACCGCCTCTATGTTTCGGCGCCTACAATCCTATGCAAACTCAACTGCATTCACAACCCCATTTCTAAGTTTTTTTATTTTTTATTTTATTGGGAAGAAATTCACACACCTATTTGTCTCTACGGGACTCGAATTCTCACCTTTTTCGTTGAAAGGTAGAGGATGGAGTGGATATTACTTTTATATATATAAACCCTATTACACTACACTAAACATGCATGTTTAGTTATCAATAGGGCGAGTGACCTAGCGATATCAACCCCTAATTCCCAAAGGGATGTCAGGGTTATAAACGTACTAAGCACTATTGTTGCATTAATTTAACATAAATGTCATTCTCTCTAAAAAAAACCATTCACAAACTCACATTGTCTCTAAAAAAAAAAAACCATTCACAAACTCACATTGTCTCTAAAAAAAACTTGAAACATGAACTTTTTATTTTGAAAGGTGTAAAAATATAACTATACTAAAATCCCTTACAATTCCAAATGATGCAATGAATTATAATAAATGGGGTGCACCCCACTTATACGGAGTATTATATAAGGCGGATGCATGTAACAATTAGGTTTTACACACTATCACATTGATGGTACTTGGCGCCAATTGACCACTTCTCTGGATTTAACATAAATGTCATTCTCTCTAAAAAAAACCATTCACAAACTCACATTGTCTCTAAAAAAAACTTGAAACATGAACTTTTTATTTTGAAAGGTGTAAAAATATAACTATACTAAAATCCCTTACAATTCCAAATGATGCAATGAATTATAATAAATGGGGTGCACCCCACTTATACGGAGTATTATATAAGGCGGATGCATGTAACAATTAGGTTTTACACACACTATCACATTGATGGTACTTGGCGCCAATTGACCACTTCTCTGGATTTCAACATCAAAGTTTTGGATTCTTTTTGTTGATTTTTCATCATACTATAATTCCTTGGCTAAGACATGTAGTCAGTCACTGAAAGCCACTCTCTCTCGTCATCGGCTTGTGTTCAAACCCGCGTCCAATTATATACAAGAATTAACCCTGAGTTCCAAGGATGCATGAGAAACGCATTCTAGAAGACATTTTTGTTTTTTTAAGGCAAGATGATTGATAAATAATAAGCAAGTATTTTCCGATTTGTTATACTTTCTTTTTCTTTTTTTCATGAATTATGGTTTTAAATATGATGAATGTTAAATCATATATATATACTTTGGAAAAAAAAAAAATCACATATATATTGTTGCAG